GGGGGGAACTGGCACCAGGAAGTCCGGTGGGGGGGGGAGGGAAGGAGTACGGTAGGGGAAGAGGCGGTAGAAGGGGACTGACTCGTCGAACGTGACGTCCTGGGAGGACAGAACACGACGAGAGGAGGGGTGGTAGAACTGCCACCCTGGAGCGTCAAGGGGGAAGCCAAGGAAGACACAGGGAGCAGCACGGGGGGACAGCTTGTCCGCAGACAAGTCGCGGACAAACGCCCGAGATCCCCAGACACGGAACGCAGACGCATCGCCGACCTTCCCCGTCCACAGTAACACTGGGGACATCGCGGGCCGAGAGACCCTGGGGTGAAGGTTGAGCTGATGCGCCGCGTACCGAACCGCAAACGGCCACAGAAAATGGGGGGCAGCCGCATGCATCATGGACGTACGAGCGACATCCATGACCATGCCAATGCGGCGCTCAGCAATCCCATTTTGCTGTGGAGAGTCCGGAAGCGTAAAGGTCTGGCGGATCCCCTGTGCACGACAGTAGTCTCGCAGAAGGCGAGAGGAGAACTCCCCACCTCGGTCAGAGTGCAGACGCAGAACAGGAAAGTCCGAGCCGAAGCTCCTCCTGAGCTGGAGACGAGCCTCGCGGATCCAGTCGATCAGCACCTCAGTGACAGCACCCTTGCTGCGCAAGGGGAAGACTGAGGTGTAACGCGAGTAGTCGTCAACCACCAACAGGAAGTAGCGCTCGTGACCCTGCCCACGGACGGGGGCCGGGCCCCACACGTCCATGTGAAGCGTCTGCAGAGGAGCCTCTGTCGGGGGAAACTGGGAGGAGTGAGGAGCAGCCCTGAGGCGCCCCTCGACACAGGGGACACAGGAAGGTCCTGGTCCCGAAGGAAGGGGAGGGAGAGACTGGGGAAGACCAGAGACAAGGACACGGGAAGCCATGCCCCGAAGACGGGGCAAGGAGGGGTGGCCTAGACGGTGGTGCCACAGAAGAGTCTCGTGAGACAGGAGGCGACACGAACAGGGGGCAGACTCAAGACCAGACCTGGACACAGCAGCAAATACCTGACCCGACGCTGCTACCTGACCGGACGCGGGGACAGGAGGAGACTCAGTGGTCAGGGTGTAGAGGCTCGACCCCGGCCGACGCGAGAACGTGGCCAGGTGCCGGCCTGTGCGTGCGTCCGTGCAGTGGGTCACCCGCTGACTCGCAGGAGTGAACTGGTGAACCCCCGCATCCTGTAGGTCTGCACCACTCACCAAGTTCGTCGAGAACGAGGGGAGGTACAGGCCAGACAGGGTGCCCGAGAGGGCAGCCGGACACGGGAGGACAGTGGAGAAGTGAGCGAGGACAGGACCCCCAGAAGGGTCCGGTAGGTGCAGCGGCGGGGCCAGCAGGTGCAGTTGCGGGGCCGGTAGAAGGGGACGGCAGCCTGGGCGGTCGTGGGCGGCTCACGCTGGGCGGGTGCACGGGCGGCTCGGTGGGCGGCGTAGAGGCAGCTCACGGGCGGCTGCGACGGGCGGCTCGCGGGCGTCGGGCGCTAGGGCGCTGGGGCGATGACGGGCGGCGCTCAGGCGTCAGGGCGGGCGGTCGTCAGAGCGCTAGGGCGGGCGGCGCTCAGGCGTCAGGGCGGGCGGCCGTCAGGGCGCTAGGGCGGGCGGCGCTCAGGCGTCAGGGCGAGCGGCGCACGGGCGCTAGGGCGGGCGGCCGTCAGGGCGCTAGGGCGGGCTGCGCTCGGGCGCTAGGGCGGGCGGCGCTCGGGTGCTAGGGCGGGCGGCCGACAGGGCGCTAGGGCGGGCGGCCGTCAGGGCGCTAGGGCGAGCGGCGCACGGGCACTAGGGCGGGCGGCCGTCAGGGCGCTAGGGCGGGCGGCGCTCGGGCGCTAGGGCGGGCGGCGCTCGGGCGCTAGGGCGGGCGGCCGTCAGGGCGCTAGGGCGGGCGGCCGTCAGGGCGCTAGGGCGAGCGGCGCACGGGCGCTAGGGCGGGCGGCCGTCAGGGCGCTAGGGCGGGCGGCGCTCGGGCGCTAGGGCGGGCGGCGCTCGGGCGCTAGGGCGGGCGGCCGTCAGGGCGCTAGGGCGGGCGGCGCTCGGGCGCTAGGGCGGGCGGCGCTCGGGCGCTAGGGCGGGCGGCCGTCAGGGCGCTAGGGCGGGCGGCCGTCAGGGCGCAAGGGCAGCGGCGCTCGGGCGCTAGGGCGGGCGGCCTTCAGAGCACTAGGGCAGATCGAAAAAAAAGAAGTACTAGGGCCCGGAGCGCGCTCCGGGCAGGAAAAAAAGGTTAAGAGGTAGCGGTGGTGGGCCCTACGAACAGTTCCCACAGGGGAACCTGCTCGATACCATGTGAGAATAAGCGAACAGGAATGAATGAACTAGCAGTGAAATGAGTACAAGTAGGAAACCCTAGAATTGTGTACCCCCTATAGGCTAACCCACTGTAGCCTACACAAGCAGAACATATATAATGTTTGACAGGGCACCGTCGCGTGCCACGGGGCGCACGACGGGCAAGTTTAGGGCACCGTCGTGTGCCACGGGGCGCACGACGGGCAGGGCACCGTCGCGTGCCACGGGGCGCGCGACGGGCAGAGAAGATGTCACTCGCCACCCGGGGGCGGGATAGGATGAAAATCGCCACGCGCCCGAGGCGCGCGACCGGAAAAAACAGCAGCGGAAGCATAAGGCGGGCCCACAGGCCAGGACGAAACACGCTCTAATGCCATGTTAGAATCTTAACATAAGTGGTAGTTGAGATTTAAGGCGGGCCTAGGCTTAGTAGCCTAGGCCAAGAGGAAGACGAGGAGTTTGTGCCAAGGTGAGAGTGGCGAGAGAATTGGAAAGGTGAATGTTCACTATAGTGATAGGGTACATATAGTAAACAGAGCATACAAAGAAGGTGCACCACCAACAGTTTACAATAACTACACTAAACTACAGCTACAGGCAGTTACATATAAATTCTGACAAGGTGTGCCGAGGAGAGCAGGTTGTACTGCAGATTGGGAACGACTATTACATCGCCGATATGGATGGTGAAGCGAGTGTCTTCGACTTCAAGGCAAATTTCTCCGATGGCGTAAGCCTTGAGGCGTCTGTTGTTAGCGACGGTGATTTCGCATGGCCGCCGCATGTGCCTTGAGCCATAGTGATGCAGATTTGTGATGTATTGAGTAGTTTTATAAAGAGTTTGTTCTGAAAAGAACAGGGACTTGACAGGCCTTATCATCCACTCTAGCTCTCATACCATGCTGATATAACGAAATGATCAAAGTGGATAGAATAAGTCTGCTAAGTTTAAATAGGATACAATGAAGTCTTAGTGGTGACCTAGTTGATAAAGTTGAAAGAGAACAAGATGGTTATAAGATAGAAGTAAGAGAGATTAAATAGAAAAACTAGCTAGCCATGTACTCAGAGGGGTACATCCCTTATTAATTGTATTGCATCACTACAGTAACCACCTTCGGGAATGTTATAATAACCTTTCGGTTAATCCAACAGCTACATTCCCTTATTAACAGTAATACGGGTATCGCCACAGCAACAGTGACCACCAGTATTGCTATACGTACGATTACCTTATCGCAGCCTGTAACATCTGATACGATTGCGACAGTTGAAGCATGTCGCAACCTCCTGGTCCAGGTCGGTCAACAGGCGCGACGATTGACCCGCGACTGTTGACCCGCGTGCCCTATATGGACTAACGCGGTATTGATACAAGGGTTTCTTCGCTGGTAGCAGGTGCGATTAGGCTCCACCTCCTAGAATGCTAAAATCGATTTTGCCTTAGGGCATTTCCCTATCCTCCTATCAAGAAAACCTCCTATCAAGCTCTCACTGGAAAATTCCCTAAACCCAAAATCTCTCGCTACTTTTACCAGGCAAAAGGTACAATCTTGATAGGAGGTTTCTTGATAGGAGGCCGTAGGAATACGCCCTTATTCTAACACCCTGGAAAATCAGGATTCTTAATAAAGTATGCCATGGAGAATCAGGGGGTTTACAAAAAAAAAAAATTCCCCCCTGATGCATCGTCGTGGCCTAAACAGAATCTGAGGGACTGTTCAATATTAGCCTATGCCTTATTATTTCAATCATTCTTACTGGTGTAACTTACAGCTGTTGTTACCAAAAGACAATAATAAACTCTCCAAGTCATTTCAAGGTCAGCGGGTGCTATAATGAAAGCCTCTCGTATGAGAACGTGGCGCAAATATGAAGGATTTCAGATGCGGTGAGAACTGTTCATGTAGTCTCGCGTTGCGACCCCCAGACCGTGACTAATTCGAGTCTCCTCTTGCTCAATGAAACCCAGGGTTGTTCGCCGCGCACAGAGACCAGCCCTTGCCCCCGTTAGTGCAACGCGGGTTTGCCCTGCCCAGGGCCATTCGAACCGAGCCACCCATGTATGAAGCGCTCATAACGAGGGCCGCATCAGATTCACCTGCACGCATCAACCAACCCACTTTCTCCACGTGGCTCAACTGCTGCTTGCGCGCTCGTTCACACCACCCTCCACCGCCCAGCTACCCCTGCCCCGCCCTCCGCACTTGACTCTCGTCCGCGCGCCCTTGACAATCACCCAGCCCGACGTTGCGCATCTGGCCGCAAGCTGGCGGAGTTGGGGGTTGGGCGGAGCGCAAGTCCGCAGCAGAGGCGAGAAGGGCAGGTGTGTCCCGTCCCGTCACTTGCCTTCACCCTCCACCCGTGCCTCGCACTAACTCATTCACTGAAGCAACCCTTGGATGGTAGTAAGCCTTAGCTCTTGGAGACTTTCACGTCAACCATGGCGCACTACGATTGAGAATTTCATTCAGGCACTGACACAGATGGAGACGGGACCGAGCTTGGCACTGGAAAGGCAACGAGGCATTCTGACGCTGTGTGACTGTTGACTCTGAAGGGCGTACGCCGTGCTAGTTTGCATATTATCAAACTAAGCGCGTTTAACCGACCTGTACACACTAGCGTCCAAGCCACTTGGAATTTCGTGCAGACCCGCGTGCAGCCGCCTTGCCACGCCGTCGGCGATGGGGCCCCTGACGGGCGTGGGGTGCTTCGCCATGCGCGCCGGCGCGCGGTCGGGATACAGCAGTCAGGCGGGGCGAGCTGGTAATGCGGCGGACGAGGCGGAGGTTTCTAAGTGGTCGTCGCTGCCGCCCGAGCTGCTGCGCGAGGTGATCGCGCGGCTGGAGGAGGACGACCGCGACTGGCCGCAACGTCGCAGCGTCGTCGCGTGCGCCGGTGTCTGCAAGGCGTGGCGCGAAATGACTCGGTGCGCACACACCCCCGCCCTGCTCCCCTTTCCCCCTTCTCCCTCCCCTCCTTCGCCCCATTGTAGCTCTTGTGAGTTTCAAGTATTCGTCTCTCCCGTATGTTCCCTGTTGTCTCTCCGAAGGCTTTCGTGCCTGCGCGCGTCGAGGCGTATTTATTTTGAAACTCTAGTCCATTCCCACATTCCTATGCCCCCCTACCTCCTCCTCTCCCACCCGCGCTGCTTCTCTCGCTACCGCCCAACATTCTTCCTCCCCCGCGCGTCCGCCCCCACCGCTCCATCACATCTCTCCCCACGTTCCACCGCATTCTCCCTCGACCTTCCCCTTCTGCCCTCGCTCCACCCCTTTCCCCTCCCCTCTCCCCGTCCCCTACGTGCCCCGCCACTGGGGGCGCAGCGATCTGCTGCAGTCGGTGGGGTCGTTCGAGGCGGGGCAGATCTCCTTCCCCGACGAGCTGCGCCGCCCGGGTCCGCGGGAGCGCAGCGTGGAGTGTTTCATCCGCCGCAGCCGCAAGACGGGCACCTTCACGCTCTTCCTCGGCGTTCCTCCCGCGCCCACCGAGACTGGCAAGTTCCTCATGGCGGCGCGCAAGTGCGGCTGGCGCCCCTCCAGGTACGCCCTCGCCGCCGCGAGTGGGGGGGAGGTGGGGTAGTGGGGGGGGGTTGGGCGCGGGTGGTGCGAGAAGCGGATGGCAGCGGCCGCCGTGTTGCGGGGGACGTGAGTTCTCATCCGCATGCTCGCTAATGCGCTATGTCTTCGTCCGTTCCGCCACTTTAACTTGTTTCTTGTTCCCTTCGTCCGTACATTTTTTCCCATGTTGTGTTCTCTTCCGCTTTCGCCTTGCTGGCGCCCCCTTCCCCTCCTTCCTCCCACATCCCCGTTCCCTCCCTCTCCCCATCGGTACGCAGCATGGAGTACATCGTCTCGCTGGATCCGCGCGACTTCTCGCGATCGCGCTCGTCGTTCGTCGGTCGCCTGCGCGCCAACTTCCTCTCCACGCGCTTCGCCATCTACGAGTCGCCCAACGAGGCCAGTCCCGCGCCCACCCCCCTTCTCTCTCCCCGCCCCGTCCAACCCTCTCGCCCTGCCTTTGCTCTCGCCGTCTGCTCGGACGCGCCTCGAGTCACGTGCTTTGCGCGGCCTACGCCACTCGCCCGCACTCCCACCACGCCGTTCCTCGCCATGCCATCTCCCTCCACCACCCCTGCTTGCTTTCCTCGCACCATCTTCTCAACCTTCCTCCCTTTCCTCCTCTCACCCCCTCTCACCCTCTCGCCTCCCCCCAGCAGCCCGTGAACCCGGTGTGTTCGCCACCCATCGCCAGCAGCAAGGTGCATCCCGGCTACAGCCCGCTCCTCGCGCCCTCGCCCGCGCCCTCGCTCGCGCTCCCCGACGCCTCTGCGAGCGGCAGCGGCAGCAGCAGCAGCCGGTGGCTGACGGCCAGCGCGTCGTCGCTCTCCGCCGCCAAGAGCCCAGACTTCACTACCGCCTCCGCCTCCGCGTCCTCGTCCGCGTCGTCCTCCGCGTCGTCGGCGCTGCGCCCGTCGTTCCTCTCCTCCTCCTTCGACGCCAGCAACGGCGGGCTCTCCGCGCTGCTCTCCTCCCCCTCCACCTCCTGCGCGCCCGCCGTCTGCCACAAGCCCTCCGCCGCCACGCTCTCCCCGTGTCTCTCCCCCGCGCCCTCCGCGCTGCCCCTCGACGGCCCCGTCGTGTCCGTCGCCTACGCGCTCAACGTGCTCGGCGCGCGCGGGCCGCGCCGCATCCTCTGCACGCTGCACCACGTGCCAGCTGGCGCCACGGGATTGGCCGGCGACGACGACGGATCCGGAAAGAGCAACGATGCTGACGGGGCGGGCCCGCGAGCAGCGGGGATGGCGGGTGGGGGGGGAGGCGGCGTGGAGATCTCGCTGGACGGCGGGTTGATGGGCGCCGCTGCGGAGTCGGCGGCGAGCCAAGGCATGGCGGGGCTGTCGCCGCCGCCCCTCTCGCTGGGGGAAAGCGCCACCCCGTCGCGCCCCCTCCCCGCGCAGCGCTCTCTCGCGTCTCCCGCGTTCACTCCGCCGTCGGTGTCGTCCTCCTCGCTGCTCTCCTCGCTGCCCGCCTTCACTCTCTCCGACTCCTCCCCCGCCCTCTCCTCCCCTGCGCCCTCCTCCCCCTTCACCCCCGCGCTCGCCAGCTCCCCGCGCTCGTTGCTCAGGCCCGCGGGCAGCAGCAGTGTGGGTGGCTCCGCGCGGCACGTGGGGCGGTCGTTGTTGGGGCAGAGGCAGGGCGCGGCGGAGGAGGTGGAGGAGGGTGCGGAGGGGGAGGACGGGGACGCCATGGACGCGACTGCCGCGCTCGCGCCCACACCGCCCTTCGGGTCGCCCGCCTTCGCTCCCACCGCCTCGCTCTCACCCGTCCTCCCCTCCTCCACCGCCTCCCCCGCCCCGCCAGAAGCCGACCTTCTTCCGCCAGCCGTGCTGCCGCTGTGTGCGGCGCCAGACGCGTGCGAGTGTCGGCAGTGCGGCGGGCGGCACAGACACGCGGCGGGGCAGGTGGGGGGCGAGCAGGCGCTGCTGGCGGAGCCCATGATCCTGAGGAACAAGCCGCCCCGCTGGCACGAACAGCTGCAGGTGCGCTGGGGGCAGGCAGGGCGCGGGGCAGGGAGGGCGGAGTGCAGTGAGGGCGGAGTGCAGTGAGGGCGGAGTGCAGTGAGGGCGGAGTGCAGTGAGGGCGGAGTGCAGTGAGGGCGGAGTGCAGTGAGGGCGGAGTGCAGTGAGGGCGGAGTGCAGCGAGGGCGGAGTGCAGCGAGGGCGGAGTGCAGCGAGGGCGGAGTGCAGCGAGGGCGGAGTGCAGCGAGGGCGGAGTGCAGCGAGGGCGGAGTGCAGCGAGGGCGGAGTGCAGCGAGGGCGGAGTGCAGCGAGGGCGGAGTGCAGCGAGGGCGGAGTGCAGCGAGGGCGGAGTGCAGCGAGGGCGGAGTGCAGCGAGGGCGGAGTGCAGCGAGGGCGGAGTGCAGCGAGGGCGGAGTGCAGCGAGGGCGGAGTGCAGCGAGGGCGGAGTGCAGCGAGGGCGGAGTGCAGCGAGGGCGGAGTGCAGCGAGGGCGGAGTGCAGCGAGGGCGGAGTGCAGCGAGGGCGGAGTGCAGCGAGGGCGGAGTGCAGCGAGGGCGGAGTGCAGCGAGGGCGGAGTGCAGCGAGGGCGGAGTGCAGCGAGGGCGGAGTGCAGCGAGGGCGGAGTGCAGCGAGGGCGGAGTGCAGCGAGGGCGGAGTGCAGCGAGGGCGGAGTGCAGCGAGGGCGGAGTGCAGCGAGGGCGGAGTGCAGCGAGGGCGGAGTGCAGCGAGGGCGGAGTGCAGCGAGGGCGGAGTGCAGCGAGGGCGGAGTGCAGCGAGGGCGGAGTGCAGCGAGGGCGGAGTGCAGCGAGGGCGGAGTGCAGCGAGGGCGGAGTGCAGCGAGGGCGGAGTGCAGCGAGGGCGGAGTGCAGCGAGGGCGGAGTGCAGCGAGGGCGGAGTGCAGCGAGGGCGGAGTGCAGCGAGGGCGGAGTGCAGCGAGGGCGGAGTGCAGCGAGGGCGGAGTGCAGCGAGGGCGGAGTGCAGCGAGGGCGGAGTGCAGCGAGGGCGGAGTGCAGCGAGGGCGGAGTGCAGCGAGGGCGGAGTGCAGCGAGGGCGGAGTGCAGCGAGGGCGGAGTGCAGCGAGGGCGGAGTGCAGCGAGGGCGGAGTGCAGCGAGGCGGGAGTGCAGCGAGGGGGGAGTGCAGTGAGGGTGGAGTGCAGTGAGGGCGCTGCGTGTGTTGGTGCTCTAACTTGTCTGCTTGCCTCAACTGTGGCTCAACTCCTGTGTGCGTGTGTGGATGGGTGTGGTGCGTGGCTGTGTGTGTGTGTGCATGCGTGCGTGTGTGTGTGTGCGTGTGGGTGCGTGTGGGTGTGTGTGGGTGTGTGTGGGTGCGTGTGGGTGGCGTGGGTGTGGGTATGGGGGTTGGGTTGGAGGTTGGGGTGGGGATGGGGTTGTTTGTGTGGTTGTGGGTGGGTGTGGGTGGGCGGAAATGTGTGCATGTGCACGTGGCATGTGAGTGTCCACATGTGCGCATGCATGGCAGTGTTGGTGTCTCAACTTCCGGGGCCGGGTGACAGTGGCGTCGGTGAAGAACTTTCAGCTGATAGAGGGCAATGCGGGGGGGGCGGTGGACGATGCGGACAAGCCGGTGCTGCTGCAGTTTGGCAAGATCGGCAAGGACGTCTTCACCATGGACTACCGCTATCCGCTCTCCGCCTTCCAGGTACGCCCAAACCCTCTCCGCCTTCTCCGCCTTCCAGGTAACGGGTTTGCGCAAGGCTTTCGGATGAATGTGCTGAAACATACCTGACCCTGCCTCCACATGCGCCACTGTCCCTTGTGCGTGCAGGCCTTTGCCATCTGTCTGAGCAGCTTCGACACCAAAGTAGCCTGCGAGTGATCCCCTCCGCCCATGGCCCTGCCGTCGCCCCACTCCCCCCCGCTCCACTTCCACTGATTCAGTGCACACGTGTTGCATTTCCATCCCAAGCCATGCCACCGCAAGCTGGTAGCAGCCTCCCTAGATAGCACCTAGTGCCTGGTCCCTCCTAGGAAATGCTTCCGTTGGTCTTTCGTAGAAAATGTGTTGGTTGCATCACTGGTCTCGCTCCTCGCGAGATGCCATGAGCTCACGACCCACTAAGGGCGTATCCTTTGTGTCTGCGGCTATCTTGTGGACTGGATTGGGCGGCTGAGTTGGGGATGCCAAGGAAGCTGATGAGATGAGGGTTAGGTAGAAGGAGCTGGAAAAGCATGATGTGCCAGGCCAACTGTATGAGCCTAAGGTGTTTTGCAAACTGTTAGTCTGGTTGCAAGGATTAGGAACTAAGCAAAAGTCTCTCCAAACGCTTTTTGGAGGGTGCAAGTCTTTTGTTTGTGGCTCATATGCTGTAGTAAGACGAACAATTTAGAAACATATTTCTAAATTTAATGATTGTGACAAGATTCAAAAAAGGGGAATGCAATAAGGAGGCATTCCTATCTTATCCTTCGGCAGGTCCACAGACCTGCCACCTAGTCTCATTTCACTCATCTCAATTTGAGTTCCCGCCCGTCCCACCTCTACCATGCATAGACGCGTAGCTAGATTGCATCTTAGGGTAGCTTTGCATAACCTTGCTACATCAGTATTTCATGTGCCATGTAAATTGATGATGACCTATGACGATTGCATTGCAGACTCCTTTCAGAGTCTTGTCACAATGAATACACAAACCACCTACCAAACACCGCCTTTCTGTACACCACTCCATTGAGAAAGCTTGCTTTCTTGTCCTTATAATTTGGCATCGTTCTCATTGCAACTGGCTTATTACAACATATGCATCGTTCGTAAACACATGCTAGTACATGCAAATATTACTAGCTATGGAGTCGTCCGTCCAAGCAGCTGTGGTCTTGTAGTTGGTCCGGGGTGGGTGGTGGGGATGTTGATTGAGCCGTTGGAAAACGAGAAACGTGGGTGGAGGGAATGAACTCCAACCCACGGTTTTTGTAGTTGGAGAAGGGCGTTTAGCGCGCTTCGACGCTGCCAAATATTCGGTACAGTCAGCTTCGCTTTCACAATACACAATTTTGAAAAACATCAATGTGTTTAAAAATTATAATATTGAGAAAGCTTGCTTTCTTGTCCTTATAATTTGGCATCGTTCTCATTGCAACTGGGGCCTCTGAGACATGGCCAGTGGTGGCTTGCGGTTGCGTAAGAGTGCCTCTGCGTGCTGTTCTGGGGGCAGCGCGTATGTCGGGTCCTGTAGGTCGCGGGATGCCTTGATAAGATGTCCGACGTATGGTGTGACGTACATCTCTTTGGCGGTGTCACTTCGCCACCTGCCCATCCTTTTGAAGATTCTGTCCGGCACGCCGATGTTGGCGGCTACGGTTGCCGCGCCCTTTCGGAAGGAGTGCGTGCCGAGCTGCTGCTCCCCAAGTCCTACTTTGGCGAATGCTTCTTTACACCAGTTTCGGATCGTTGTGTACGAGGGTGGCTTGGCCTGGCCCTTGTTGGCTGAAGCGTGGCTGAAAACGCGAATCAACGACCCCTCGGAATGAGGGCCATAGCCAGCGAGTTGGAGGAAGCGTTGGGTTGCAGCGCACGGGGCAACAAGGGTCCGTCGTTGCGGCGATGGGAATCCAGGTTCCACGACCAGCCTGGTCCGTTTTTGAGTGTGGGATGAGGATCCACATGACTGCATCGTCGAATTGGATGTCTTGCCACTGGATGGCAACGAGGTCGGAGTATCGCAAAAATCCGGAGTACATGAGGATAGGGATCAACCCCTTCTGAAATTCAGCGGGATTGTCCGACTGCAAGTAGTTCGCGGACATGTCCCGAACTTGTTGGATTGATACGGGCTCCTTCAAACGACTAGGGCGAGGGCAGTGTCGTTTCGCGTAGTCCCGCACTTGGGTGGTAAACGGTCCGACAGTCGGGCATTTGCTTCCAGTCATGCGATGGGCGAAGCTGACTGCCGAGCACGTGAGCTGCACTACAGACAAGGTTGCTTTGCGTTGGATTGCATGCACCAAGTATAGCGCGAGGGTCATGTCGGATGCGGGAAGAAATGGAAGATCCACCTTTGTGCAGAAGGCCCGAAACTTGGCCCAGTACGGTTCGTATGTACGGATTGTCGAATTCGCTCGCGATTGTGTGAGCATGTTGATGAGTTGGTTGTGTAGCTTTGGGAGCGGATCTGGACACAAGGCGCGTACATTCTCAATTAGTCAAAAACCACCCGAAGTGCGATGATTGGGCTGTGTGGTAATCCAGTGCCTGAAAAAGCAGCGGAATGTGTTCCAGCTGCCAGGCATTGGCTGCCGTGTGTCAAGGGAATGTGCGCGTGGATGTACGGTGCCCAGTTGCGTGGGGAAGGTTGTAAAAGTGGCCACCAGTTTGCACCCGGCCAGTGTGGGATGATCAATGTGAGCGATGCACGGGTGCGCTGTGCGTGATGGAGGACGGCCGGAACTAAATGGGGCGGGGGGAACGCAAAGCTATTTTCTGATGTCCATGCGAGCGAGAATGCATCGACTGCGGTGGCTTGTGGATGAGGAATTTTCGTGCAGAAGCGTGGCAGCTGGGAGTTGCGGGAGTTTGCAAAGAGGTCGATGGAATGGGGACCCCAACGCCGTTCTAAGATGCGGAACCACGGCGTCTTCAACGAGTAGTCGTCATGATCGACTGCTTTTGAGAGCTCATCGGCGTGTGAGTTTAGCTCCCGTGGGATCCATTCGATGATTAGATGCGTGCCGTGCTCCATGCATAGTCGAATGATGTCTTGGCAGGCCGTGGTAAGGTCGGGGCTGCGCGAGCCACCTTTGCGAAGGATGAAGAAGACGCCCTGATTGTCCACCCGCACAAGAACATGTTTGTGCGTGATCTTGCTGGAGTATGTTTGGAGTGCCCAAAGCACACCTTCGATCTCCCTCCGTGTGCTGGACGTCGCTCGCAGCGGCTCTGGCATTGTTGCGCTAGCTTCTTCGAGGCCGCCAGGAAATGTGGTCAAAGTGGCGCCCCAACTGTGAGCGCTAGCATCCACATGGATGACAGCGTCGTAGCTGTTTCGAACGTGAAACGGTGCACCGTTGAACCTATCAAACTCTTCGAGCCAGAAGTTTAGCTCCTCAGCCGCGTTTGGGGGGATGATCACGCTGCTTTTCCATGAAGGTGCGTCATTGATCACTTGTAGCATGGCGTGGCTGAAAGCACGAGCTGTTGCGCCCAGCGCGACGCCCATTGACGCGAGCATGCCTGTGATTCTGGCCACTTGGCGGACTGAGACGGGTCGACATGCCTTGCTTGCGCTCAACAGGTTCCGAATGGTTGCATGTAGTGAGGCTCGTCGTTCGGGACCGATGGTAAATCGGCCCGTGGCCGTGTCTAGCTCCACACCCAAGAATCGAAGGTGTTGCGATGGTGACAGCTGTGATTTCTTCGCATTTATCACCAAACCTGCTGCTTTAAGGTCGAGTATTACACGGTGGCAAGTAGCCTGCGCGTGAGCTTTTGACTGGCAAAGGAATAAGATGTCGTCCACGTATGGTACTACTCGGATGCCTTGCTCCCGCCAGCGACGGGCTAGCTGCTTGATGAGTTGCGTGAAGATGAATGGGGCTGTCGCAAGACCGAACGGCAATGAACGAAAGGAGTAAGTGCGCCCATCGAATCCAAAACCGAGAAACTTCCAGCATGAAGGATGGATATCGATGTGATGGTACCCGGATTTGAGATCAATAGAAAACATCCAATCCCCAGCGCGTGCCACGTCTGCCACACGGCTGAGTCCTTCGTACTTGAATTTTGGGACGATGAGGTTTGTGTTGACTTTTCTCAGGTCGAGGATGAGCCTGCATTTTTCTTTCTGCTCGACCACGTTAAGTGGGCTTATGCACGTAAGCTCGCTTGCGGCTGTCTCGACTGCAGCTCCGGTCTCTGTGAGTTCTTGGATGGCAGTACGTGTGAACGACGCATGCGCGTATGCACCAGCGTGGTTACGCTCCCGAAAGGCCTGTGGTGGGCCGTGGCTCCATGGAAGCCAGTAACCGTTGGCGATGATGGATAGGACGAGGCTGCAAGGGCACCATGAGCTCCACCACGCAAAGGTCGAGCGAAGCCGACCGCACATCCGTGTGACGGTTTTGTCCGTGACGGCGAATTCGTACGGGCCATCGTCGCGAGGCACCTCGTATTGTTGTGCTCCTGTATGTACGGCAAGGAAATGAACGCGACCAATCAGGTTGCACGCCTTAATTAGTTCATGCGTGTGACATATACATGCATGCGCGAAAAATGAACCGTCAACAGTGAGGACCATACGGACGGTTTGTCGTCATTCCATATAGGGCGTCCGATCGCACCTTGGCAAACTCTTTCTCATACTCTCTCCTTTTCCCTCCCCTCGTTTTTTTTTTTTTTTTTTTCTGGAGGATTGATGCTTGGGACCATGATCATGCTTCCCTCGTGTGCTCTCTCTCTCTCTCTCTCTCTCTCTCTCTCTCTCTCTCTCTCTCTCTCTCTCTCTCTCTCTCTCTCTCTCTCTCTCTCTCTCTCTCTCTCTCTCTCTCTCGCTCTTTCTCTCTCCCTCTCTTTTTGGATGTGTTTCCATTGTTGTTTGAGCATTTGCATGCTTCGCTTGTCATGAGCTCGTGTCTTTTCGCGCGTGCCTTTACTTGGGCTAGGCGACATCGCTATGCCCTACTCCCCCCCCCTTGCTCCTTCTCACC